TGTTTTTGAATTCTATATTTGAGATATAGGATTTTGGGTAATTTTCTCTTATAAAATCATCTTATTCTGCCAAGCACAAATTTGACGTTCCTCATATTGTAAAGAAACTAAACGCGTCAAAATGAAAGGTCCGGATACAAATTACACCAATATTTCTCAATATTAAGAGATTCAGACACCAACTAGAGATTTAAATTAAAAACTACACTAACTCGATATTCAAATAAAATTTGTACCTTTTAATAAAATTTAAATAAAAAAATTACCCTCCTCTATATTTCAAGAACAAATAGGTCTTTCCAAAAATGCTCAGAATCCTCGAAATTTGGCAGATAAATGGTGAAAAGGCTGAAAAGAATATTTCCTACGTACATCATCCTCTACTTTCATTGAGGACTTCTATTCGCAGTAGATGTATCGTAATTATTGTCATCATAAATTTCATTAGGATTGCATTATTTTGGAACCTTTTTTTTTTTTTTTTTAAATCAAAGGGGGGGATTGAAGCCGCATTATTAGCATTTGACTTTTGAGGACAAGGAGTAGCCAACGTTGCAAGAGAAAATTGGACGGTCATAATTAAAAGGTTATATGTCGCTTTATTTTCCCATTGGTTAATTGAATACATTACTACTCCTTTTGCTAAAAAAATATTAAGCACATAGGTTGTAATTCAAAAGACATATTTACAATTCGAAGGTAAAAAGCTCTTTTCTATTGGCTGTTTGGCTATTGTTAAAAAGTATTTTTTGTCAAATAATAGACAAAAAAAAGGACGGTGCAACTTGTCCCGGGATTAAATCCCGGGTCAAACCAGGTGTGCCATTTGACGCTCCCCTATTGGAGGGGGATCTGCCCAAAACAACCGGCATTTTGTAAAAAAAAAAATGCTTTTAAAAGTTGTTTAAAAACGAAAATTGATCTTTAATAGGAAGTCGTAATTCAGATTTAACGGAGCTTTAAAATTAAAAAAAATACATATTAATATATCAAAAAAAAGTTTTTAACTTCTAACTCCCATTAAATAAATATAAAAATTATACGAAAGCATTTTTATGATTATACGGTTAAATAATCAATTTAATATTCATAGCATTTTTTGAATTTACAACCAGAAATAGTCAACAACCTTTATACAATCAGGAGTTAGGCTACACATACCTAATTTTTTACCTAATGTTTTATCGAATTGACAAGTGACGGTAAAAAATTATGTACAAATAGAATTTTCCATACAATCAAAAGCTTTAGTCACAACGTTGCGCGGCCCTAAGTAAATTGTACTTTAGTATAAAAACATCTCTAAAAAGTTATATCCTTTTAATATATTAATAAAATAAATTTCACTCCATATATTGGATGGCAATAGCGATGACTATTACCATTCTCACCCGTCGAGATTTTCGAAAAGCATGGTGGAATTAAAAAATTTAATTTATTGTCGTGTTTAAATTTTTTAATGTTATTATTTACTTTTTAAAAAAATGATTTAAATTGGAAAATAGAAAATAAAAAAAATATTTCAGGGCAGGTTCGAAGAATTCGAAAGGGGACCATGATATCTGTTCTTGTTCAATTCGTGTCAAGACAATACGAGATGGATCGTAAGTGAAATTTTTTGCCATCCCTACTCCGATACCTTTGTTTTGAAAGTTCATTTTAGAAAGGAGTGTAAGGGGCTTATTCAAAAGCCGTAATTAAAAGCGAAAATGACGGCAAAAGGATTGGGAATTTGAGAGGGTATATATGCAAAGTATCCATAAGTTGAAGGACTATAAATTACTTTAAAATCGCAACCAATGAAAGGGATCTTTGACTATAATATCTTCCTACTGTACTATGACGCGCGACAGTTAGCATTTCCACCAATATTAGACTCTCAATTCCCTGCAAAACCTCCAGCAGTTGCTCTCAGGTTCGCTTCTCTACGATCCCGTCGAGTTCTTCTTTCTCCATGCATTGTATTTAATGCTTAAGTTACGCATACTATTTTCACTGAATCAATGATCAACGGTTTTATTATCCGAATTCATTTTTTTTATTTCTTCAATATTCGAAGTTAGTATTGATTACTTGAATTGGGATCTAATGGTGTAATTTTCAAATTTTTAATCTCACAATGGGTTTCCGTGTATTGTGCAATTTTTAATATGGTTTGTTCTGTTTTTACTGAGCAGTAGTCTCGCTTGTGATCGGTAAATGGTTTTAGTTTCTCAAAAGAAAATTGCTTTATGGGTGAATCTAGAATATTTTCTTTTTCTTTTTATCCGAGTTTGGATTGGGGATCAAAGATTTTGAGAATGTCTCTTTATAAATTTTGAGTTTTTTTTATTGAAAGAACAATCCGTAAAGGGACTATAAATGTAATCACTATTTAGAAAGGTTGAATAGGGTACGAAGCATTTGAATATGCAAGAGTGTAAGCCTCGAGGAGTTTGAGGTGTAAAGCTTGTATAAATTAAAAAAAAAAAAAAATACAAAATAATAGCCATGAGATAA